CGCGTGCAAAGTCCGTGCGCCTGGCGCAGCCTCCCCGGAGTTGCAGCCGCGCGGAGCGGGCCGGCGCCCTCGCCATTGTTTGCAGTGTAATTTGCTGTTGCTGATTTTGGCTGTGAGCGAAAATAGCTGCTCTGAGCAAGCTGCGGAGACGAGCTAGTAGCACTTCCGTGCACAGGCGGAGGCCGCAGCACAGCGCGGGGACGGGGTCGCCACCATCCCGGGGACACCTTCGCCCTCCCGGGCAGGTTAACCGGGGGCGGATGCCAGGCTGCGGGATCCGTTCTCCCCTGGGCTGATCCGATGCCAGTTAAAACATCACCTCCTCCACCGGCATCTCTTCTGGCAGCAGAACCTGGAATTGTTTCTGCGCCGCCAACCCCTGACTTGTCCCAGAACTGGACACTGAGGTGTCAGCTTACCCGTCTAAAGTTCACAGAGGTAGAACAGGATCAGTTTCTGTCAAGATCCACAGACGCCCGGGAGGGAATGACAGAACGTGTCCCGTCTCTCCTGCGCGATTTGTGTGCCCGGTCACAATTCCAACCGACTGTCCCAGAGAGGAAGTGGGGAATCCCTAGTATAGTTGCTTGAGCTCCCTTTAGCACCTGTGAATCAGTTTCACTGAATGATTTACGTTTTCACAGTTTGACTAGGTGGGTGGAATAATATCCCTTGCACTCGTCCAATTTCCCTTAGTTTTGCACTTGTAAAAAAAAAAGTTTCATAGTAATGTGTTATGAAAGTAACCAGAAACTCCATTTGGAAGAGTACAAAGGTGTTTTTTGGTTACGTAAAGTTAGAACAGATACCCGGTAGTTCCTACAGGTAACTGACACAAAGACCTTTTTTGTAACGTGGTTGTCATTGGGGCCAGGATCCATACAATTCTGTCGCACTGGACAGAAGAGATTTCTGGCTTGAAAACTATGGAAGCTGAGTTTCTCTTGTCACAACTGCGATGCTCTTCGTGTAAGCAGTGAGACTAGTGACCTTTGAGGATGGATGGCTCACTGTGAGTGCATTGGCACTACTGGCCAAATCCATGGAACTTTCCAAAACAGCCCCCTGTAAAGTGGAGATGATAAATTCCATGTGCCTCAGCTGCTTAGGTGGAAAATGTAAGAATTACATTCTTCTCTGCCGTGTCTGCCAGGGTTCCATTTCCACACCTGTTTCTCTGAAAATGTGAAAGTGCCAGGGTCTTCTGTGAAGGCCTCCTTCCCTCCCTCCCTCCTTCCCTCCCTGCCCTTCTCTCTTCCGTTGACAAATTTGTCCCTGCCACATTGTTTTGTTAGGGTGGGGGATACCTGATTTGTAAATAGACCACGTGTTAAAACTGAATTAGACACTATAGCGATTCTTCTAAATTAACTTCTGTAAGTGAGATCCATTGAGGTCTGAAAGGACCGAGAGTATGGCTAGAACTTTAGTGGACCTCGATCATAGATTCCACAGCAGGAATGCTGGATCCACAGCCCAGTGTAGACTTCCTCACTGTCTGCTGCAGAGTGGTTTTTGTTGTTGTTGTTGTTAATAGAGTGGGGAATGGGGAGAACCGGTGCATGCTTTGCAGACTTATAAGAACTTTTCTCTTGTGGGGCTGATGTAATTTGCAGCCTGTCCTTAAGGCTATAATAAGTCTGCTGTAATAAAGGAAAATCGAAAATAATTTTCCTGTGCAGAAAGTATTAATGATTCTGGCTCTTGTTTTGTGGAACTCAATTAGGTACAGCTCTAATGACATTTTATTCTTATACCCAGAAACTATGTGATATGAAGGAAAACATCAAATGGTGTTAGGGCTTAATTTCTTGGTGTCACCTTCCTGGGAATAAACTAGTATAGGGTTTAAACACTTATGTGGTAAATTAGCTCATTTAAAGCTCTGATAACAACTGGAGGTGCACAATGAAAGGCGATTCAACCTTTCAGGAATATGCAGTTTCTTCCCAGTGCTCTGTGAGAACATGTTGTTGGGTTACTGAATGGTCATTTTTCGAATTCAAAATGACTACACTGATGAGTTAACAGGAAAACACAGTGTCATGCTAGGCCTGTTCAAACCTCATGTTTCTGGAATAACAATGAAGTGGTATACTATTTTAACACTCCGAGAGTCTATTTTTATAGCCAGGTGAATTAACCTAGTTTCCACTCCTCTCAAGCAAATATGTAATGGAATTAATGAATTTGGTTATTGTCTGAAGCTCACGGGTCGGTATTGTGTGTGTTTTTGAACTTCATCTTTGTAAAACTCAGAAATGGTGCTTAATAACCTGAGACATATAACATCTCTCTGCTTTAAAAGAGAGAGTATATATAATTAGAATCTTACTTTTTTTTTCATGTCCTAGATAGTTAAAGCCTATCATCTTTTTAAGAATCCAGGCAGTCTGATTTCTGTGCAGTAACTGGTTTTGTTAATCAGCTGTGTTTGAATGAGTTTTTGTTAGTTGGTTCTCCTTTTCAGGATTCAGTACTTGGGCATAGCTGTGGTCAGCTGGTTTCTGGGGTAAACCAACTTGGACCTTGTTCTGGCTTTTCCCAGTTCCCAACGGAATCACCACTGGCCAAGGTCCTAGAAAACCTTCCCATGAACTTCCAGCTACCCTCCTGTAAAAGATAGTCCTTTCAAGCAATGATTAAGCCTTAAGTAAGAAGTGTTTGTTTAAAAAAAGAAAAGAAAAGTTATGTGCACTCAAATGTTAGCTCTTCTAATCAATATGTAAAGTGAATATTTCCCCCACTCTGTTGGTGCCACCATTAATCAGAACTGCTAGTCATCATGAGTATCTGCTCTCCCACCTCTCTCAACACCGGTGACATTACTCCAGAATTGGTTCCTTCTTTCTGTATTCCCAGCCATCTCCTGCCTTAGTTCAGCCCCATAGGCCTTCTCCCACTTCTAGTCCATTGTGCCTGCAGGGACAACAGGCGCGCTTTCATGGGGAACAGAACTGGCTTCATTGTGGCTTGTTACTAGTGTCACCTGGGACTCCAGGCTTTCTAAGCCTCAGTTTCCACCCCTCCGCAGGAGGGGTGTTCACAAGAAGAGAAAAATGCAGCCTTTTCTATAAAATGTGTAATTCAATGCCAAGTACATAGTAAGCAGTCACTAGCGAATAACCTTATTTATTTTTGGTATATGAGAAAGGTCCAGAAGCTTGGCATTTTGTGGAAGGTGCATTTTGTACCTGCTCTCACAGTCTGCGTCTCGGCACACGGCTTGCTTCCATGTTTGGTGTTTGGTGTGTTCTGAACACAGTGCTGGCACCCTGAGGGCAAGAGGCCGCCCTTGCTCAGCAGATGGTTGGTTGCTGAGTGTCTTCTGTACTCCGGCGTGCTGTAGTCAATAGTGAAACAGCCAGGTCTCTCCAGAAGCCTCGACATGTCTCGCGGATTTCTTACTTCTACCTGTGGCCCAAGGTGACAGCCTTCTCTCTTGCAGGAGGAATCTCTGGTGGTAAGCACGACGTGGCTAACCTCTGAGGCAGAACCCAGCGTGGAGCATGGGTGTCACCTGCAGTGCAGGGTGAGGCGCTCTGTGGTCGGGAACAGAGCCACGGTGTGATGAGTAATGGCCAGGGGCCGTCGAGGAGGAGAGGATGCTGTCACCCTCCTCGCCCTGGAACTGGTTGGGCAGTGATAGAGTAGGCTGATGACTGCATGCTTGCTCCTGGGGCAGGAAATGGGGCCAGTGGGGGCAGACTTCCCTGTAGGTGAGCCTGGCCCATGAAGCAGTGAACCGAGCAGCTCATGACTGCCGTTCTAGCCCGTGGTTCGCTTCTCTCCCAGCGGTCCCCTAAAGCGACTGTGAACAGTGGTGTCTCAAGCCTGACTTTTTCTTGCCTGTGGGTGGGGAAGGATGAAGGAGTGTGCTTGAGTTGTGTTTTGCTACAC